TATAACATGATAAAAAGTCCTCCTGGGCTTTTCTTTGACAAATGAATTTAGCTCCATAAACCATAGTGGTTTGGTGCTGTAGAACCTGGTCGAATAACGTGTTTGCATAAGCCAGTCCTCCCTCCCATGATAACCATAGGCAGATTTACGCTTATTTTCTGTTCTGAAGTGAAGCTACATATTTTCATAAGCATGCTCCATTTTTAATTGTGTAATTAAGTTGCTGACATAAGCAACTATGCAATTTCACATTAAGGTAAGGATTCGTAAAGGCATGCATTTGCATAATTTAATTTTCTGCACAGAAGATATTGAAAATCAATAGCATGATTCATAGCCATACCATATCATTGCCATGCCGCCATCGGTTGGCTGTTTGAGCTTAGGAGGGTACAAAGAGTATTAAAATTGATTGAATTTGGTGTGCTGACTCTGTATCTTTACTTGGGAACCACAGACTGTTTCTATTTGCAAATCTTCTGTTCCTTGCCAATACAATATGAAGTTGTTTAATACTCTCTATATACATTTTTGACTGCTTTTCAAATAATAGTTTCTAGAAAATTGTTATTTTTTTAGAATCACATTATTATTAACTGAAGTGCATTGAGGAGAGAACTTAAAATTTTGTTTTAATTTATGCAGCAATCCAGTAATGCATGATGATGTTTTTATTGGGGGTTGGGGTAAGGAATCACACATTACTGACAGATGTAATAAAAGGGAAAACTAAATATAGTCACCTTTAATGAATAATTTATGTGTTGAACAAAACAAATCTGGTGCCAAGTGATAGAGTCCTTGGCTACACTGTTCCTTTCTGCATGGCCTCCCTGAGGGTTTGCTTATTAGATAGTCAGGATGGTTCCTGCTTCAGATCTTTCTGAAGGAGAAGGTGGCGTTTTTGTTATGTATGCACACACATACACATACACATACATACACTGTTACATCCTCTACCTGCCAGAGTAGTCGCCTTGGACCTTTCTGTCATTCATTCATTCACTCACTATTCATGAACACACAGTATATGGGGGAGCTCCATTATGGGGGTGTTTTGGCAGTAGTCCAGGAAACACATGCGCTTTTCCTGGGTCCCTTCAGCCCTTCAGAACCCATGCAATATGGCTTTCAGAAGTAAGTTTTCCTGCCCGAGCTGCCCTGGCTATGTGAAATACACCTTGTACTTCAGTACTTTGAGGGAGAGTGAGCAAGACAAGGGGACCATCTCTCTTGGGGTGGCCCTCAGTTCTTCTGTTACTGCTTGTCAGCTGGGCTGTGTTCGACATTACTGCAGCTCCTGTTTTGTTCCAAGAGACCCATCTTTAGACAGGCAGTTTCTGCTGCTCAACTCAGATCCATGTTCCCTATGTCACTTGGAAGGTGACTGCACATTACGGGTATTGAGTGCATAGGGGAGGATCTTATGGTGTCAACTTCTCTGTTTCTTCCATTGGATATATCTTTGTGGATTTGCTTTTGCATTAATAATTTAGTTTGCTTCGGGAGCTGGTTAAGGGTGGGACCTCAAACCTGATGGCCTCAATGCAGACTTGTTCAAGGCTATTGGGATACAGGTCCTGGAGATGTGGGCTTACCTGACTCAGCTGTGGACCTGCCACTGGGCTTTCCCAGCACTGATGCTCCTCCAATAGGAGACCTTCCTGGCAGTCTCTGTGCGCCTTGCACTACCCTGATGATCCCAGAGGTTCTGGGAATCGGGGGTTGGTGGGGATTACGAGTCTGAGTTCCATCAGAGCATGGGAAGGAATTAATATCCTTGAAGAACACCCCATTCCTTCCTTAATTTCCCACCTGGTTTGTTTGTGAGCTTTCAGGTTAGAACTCTGTTCTTGCTCAGTTTGGAGCCATGTTTTGGTCAGTTCTGCAGCAGGCCCACTCCCCTGTGCTCTGCCAACCCTGCATCAGTGTGAAGCCTTTGGCTGTGAAGTTACAGACCTTGAGGACAAGAGTTGGGAATGTCAAAGATAAGGGCGACCTTAGGCCCAGCTCCCTTGGGACATTTGCTGGTTTTTATCTCTGGGTTCAATGTAGAATCACACAGAGGCAGGAGCAGTGGCTCATTCCCACAGCCCCAGCTACCCGGAAGACTGAGGCAGGAGTTTGGGGCTAGCCTGAGCTACATAGCAACACCCAAAACTGGTGTCTTAGCTCCACCCCAGACCAATTAAATCCAAATTCCAGGTATAGTTTTGTGTTTTTTCCCCTCCCCTTTTGATACAAGGGATTGAAACCAGGAGTGCTCAACACTGAGTTGCATCCACAGCCCTTTTAAAAAATATTTTTAAAAAATTTGATACAGGGTCTTGCTAAGTTGCTTAGGACCTTGCTAATTTGATGAGGCTGGTGTTGAACCTGGGATCCTTCTGTTTCAGCCTCCTAAGCTGCTGGGGTTACAGGCGTGCGCCACCACACCTGGCTTTTTTGGTTAAAAGCAGTTCAGACCACTATTCTAACAATGGCCCTTTATGAATGGAGAAATTGGCAATCAGAAGTTGAAGCAACTGTTTACAAGACACTGTGGGTCTCACTGGGCTATCTTTTGCATGTGAGAAAGAGAAAAAGACACTTGAACAGGTAATTGGTTCATGAAGCTATAAAGCCACAGATAGGGCTGGCTTTAAATTGCCTTTGTCCAGGTCATAGACATTATCAAGAGAGTTCATCTATAGGTTTGCCTCCTCTGACTTGGTTCCATTTTTTATCTCCTCTGTTGATACCTTACTTGATCCTTGGCCACTCTCTCAAGGCTCTGGGCTAATGTCATAACACCTCCAGAAGGAAAGGAGAATCTCTGATTGGCTGATATCCCTAGGCCTGGATGCATCAGTGGGAACAGGGAGATGATATAGTGATTGACAGGCTGAAACAGTCTATCGCTAGAGCTGGCAAGATTGGTGATGACAGGGAGTGGCTGTCCAATCTGTAATACCCACTTAGGTTTATTATTGCAAATGAGGAGACTGTGTGGTAAATTTCTACTGTGTTGTGTTAAAAGGAACATCCTTAGGTCAATTGAATTTAGCAGAGTTTATTTGAACAAAACCAAAAATGATTTGTGGATTGAGTGGGTTCTGAGAACTCCAACCAACATGTGATCTGACGGCATTTGTAGGGAAATGAAGGTGAGACAGAGGAAAAACAAGAACTTAACAGGCTACAGCTTAGTCAGTCACCTGGTTGGCTGGTTACCCATTAAATGTTTGCAATCTAATATTAATTGGCTGCAGGTACTTCTGCACCCAGCCAAAGCTCAGTTACTGTGGTTAAACTTACATGTTGGTGTGGTCTCTTGGCCTCAGTCTAAATCCAGGGCCACTTACGAAATGTTATTTCTTTACAGGCATTTAAAAAGCATTGTATAATCAGTCGTTTTTACTCATTTTGTGTGGATACAACGAGAAAGAGTTATTTGACAGAACTTACTTAAAGCAGAGTAAATAGGCAAATAAAGTTTCCCCATATGCAAAGAACATAAATAATCCTAATGATTAATAATTTAGTTTTCTTTTGTGGAGGGTTAATGGATTAGGGGACTAGATGGTGAGACTTTACTTTTGACCTCTAGAAGCTCGGATTGGCCAACTTCCTGGGGCTCTGAAGGGTTCAATTCTCTAGAATCATAGGATGAATTGGATGATGATTACCTAAGCCTTTATTGTTTTATGGATGGGTAGTAATCAGAACCAGTGAATAAATATGGGGATACGAGGTTTACTGTTTGGTTATGTTTTGGGGTTAATCAGATTCCCCCTTTTCTCTAAAGGGCTCATACTCTATAGAATCTCTCTGCTCAGGCATTACTTGTGTTAAAGCTTGTCTGTGCACTTGAAGTGGAAGCACAAAGTACTTCTTTTTCCTGATTTTTCTGTTCCAGCCTGTCACATCCTCATCAAAGCTACATCATAATATTATTATTATTGACGAATTTGGAATGGAAAATGTATTGTGCTTTCCCGTGGCTCTCTTCATCTTAAATTGAATATACAGATTCCTCTCCCCGTTTTCTTTTACTTTTGCAAAGCACTTGATTTTGTTTGGGTGGATTTGAATATTAACATCGTCAGGTGGTGGGTATTGTTGGAGTATAATTCTGTTTCATTTTGGATTCCGGGCACCTGTGATATTTCTCATCTAATATATCAGTGCATTCAGGTGTGGATTCACAACAAGAGAAATTTGCATCCATGAAGAGGCTGGGAGAAGGGTCTTTGAACGCGGGAGCAGGCAGATGGGAACTCTCCATAATGGGGTTGAATATTTTTGCTTTTGCTTGATGGATCGGATTCATTTCGAGTTTTCCAAAAAATACATCATGAAGCAGTGTTTCTTTTCTGAGATTGTTGCGGGGGCTTCTTGTTTTAGGGGCTCAGTACTGCAGGTGACTATTTGTGGGTCCAATGGTGTGGAACATGGGTACTCACCACGGGAATCCTTCTCATGTCACACTGTGCCTTGTTTGGGCGGGATAGGCCCTGACACCCTGGTCTGCATGCTTACCTACGGGTCCTCTACTTATAAAACAAGTAGAATGAGCCCCAGCTCTGTGAAGATCACATAGGCCAGGGGACCTGGGTTTATTGATGTAAGTAGAACCAAAGTCCTAGATTCCAGTTCTACTATTTATCTGACCTTGGGTGAGTGACAGTTACCACCACTTCTTGAAACGTTAGTTGGCTCAAAACACCATAGGGTGCTGTTTTGCAGACCAAAAAAGATAGTGCATACAAAGGACTTAATGTCCTGTGCTCTTTGCTACAAAGTGAAGGGCTCATGGTAGGCTGTTATTATATGAGCAGTAGTCGTGATAATCTGTGGATTCTCCTGCAAGTTTTTTTTTCTGTAAAATGAGGTTCTATTTGGTCATTCCCAAGGTCTTTGTTTCTCTGAAGTCTCCCAGATCTGTTCATGAGACCCCCTGTGTGTACGTGGTGGGGTGATGACTTTGTCTCACTGTGGGTCTCCTCTCCCTCTTGCAGCCTTGACGGAAGGCTACGTCGGGACCCTGCATGACAGCAGACACGGCAGCTCAGTGCAGATCCGCAGACGCAAGGCTTCAGGGGACCCATACTGGGCTTACTCTGGTAAGTCACACTGTTGATATTGGCACTATAGGCATCCGGTCAAGTCTGGCTCAAAATCCTGCTTGTATCACGTTCACACCTGAGTTCTGTTTATTGCACCCTTTTATAGTTCACTACTAGTGAAGTTGAAAATATTCAAACCTGTTTTTCTCAAGGTTGTTAATCTTTCCCACCTGTTTTCTCCCTCAATTTGCATTTATTTCTGAACTCGTTCATGAGTTATTGTACCTAACTTGTGACTTTCCTGAAGACGCACATTTTCTTTTCTGTTTCTTTGGTGGCTGTGATTTTTGGAGACCACAAATTGTAAGGCTGGTCTTCAGGTGCTTAAACTTCTGCTAAGTATTATAAAGCATTAGATATCCAAAACTAAGCAGAGAAATGCAACTTTATTTTCGAATCAGTCTTGTTTGTGGAATTTATTGTAGTTCTGTTGACTGCAGTTGTTTTCATTTATATTTTGACTGTTAGCCTTTGAGCCAGTGAAATGGGAGATCTTTGTTACAGCTGTGTTGACAATTATATTGGAAAAAATTTTCTTTCATTTTAAGGTGGGGGGAATGGAGACATACCATATGGAGGGTCCCCACAGTTAACCAAAATGTGACCGGTGGATTGTGATTTCTTAAAGAGATTTCGAAGCTCAAAAATATACGGAAAATAGATTATAGCTAATTAAAGAATACTTGAGGAAGATAGACCACTTTGGAAATTACTTTGACACTGAATAATTCGGATTGCTTATATGAAGGAGCTGAAAGTCATAGAGTATTAGTCTTAATAATAAATCTATGCATTATGCAATGTTGTTGCATATAGAGCCGAAAGCGCTCCTTTCATCGTTAATGCTCTGGTTTTAAATTCTGAATTTCCGCCTGGAAATCCTGTTAAATTTGTGTCAGTGTAAAATTTATAGGTCTGATCTTTAATTACACCTTATCTATTGGCTTTTTGCATCCTTTTGTCTATTGATAAATCTCCTGCCCCTACAGGGAGAAAAGCCTATCTGTTTTGTTTTGTTCCTAGCAGATAGTGATTCTGAAGTCTTCCATCACATCCAGTTCTTTGTGATTAGAATTATCTAATTAGAGCCTTTTTGTCACCATTTCTGATAAATGAGGGAAATTGGAAGATGAAGGCCAAAATTACATATAAAAAATATATATATATAGCTTCATGCCAAGAAACCCAAAGAAAATTTATCATTTTGTTCTTTGCGGCTCTGATATCAGTCAGGAAGAAGTGTAAAGTGGCCTGCTGTTTACAGTTCGTCAATCTAGAATGATAATGCTGTTACTCAGGAAATTGGAAGTTATATCCCATCAGCATCTCCAATTGCCATTGAGGCAAAGAAAGGAAAGGCCTAAAACTTCTCTCATTACTCAGTTAAGAATAGACATAAGCGATGTTATCTTTGGGATGGAGGCATGATTGATGTCCTTCCTTGGGTGGGCTTAAACAGCCTCTGTTTGGTCCCTGTGGAATGCACGGTGTCTGGATGTGGGTACCTTGTCCGCCTGTGGCATAAGTTGAGGCACTGGGACACTTTTTCTGAAAAGATACATCTTGGGCTTTTCGGGTCACGTGGTCTCAGTTTCAGCTACTCAGATTGGCTGTTGTAGGGTCAGAGCAGCCACAGAGAGTACAGGGCTGTGTTCAGATAAAACTTCATGAATTTGAGTTTTGTAGGATTTGTCTGTGTCAGGAAGTCCTGTTCTTTCAACTTTTCCACCCAACCATTTAGAACTACAATAAAGCATTCTTTCTTCACAGGGTGTGCAAAAACAGGTTTCTGGTTAGATAGGGTTCACAGGCCACCGCTTGTCAACTCTTGTTTTAATTGATATTTTCCCTCTGAAATTCAGATTAGGATAGTGATTTGAGGAATCCTTCAGAGGCTATGAACTGCTTTGTTAGGTGTAATAGAGAAAATAAGGAGAGTGAGACAGATATCAGATAATGGTACAGATTGATATCCATATATCCTTATCGAAAATACTTGGGAGTATTTCAGGGTTTTTTGGGGGGGGAGTTTACCGGGGGTTGAACTCAGCAGCACTTGACCACCGAGCCACATCTCCAGCCCTATTTTGTATTTTATTTAGAGAGAGGGTCTTGCTGAGTTGCTTAGCGCCTTGCTTTTGCTGAGGCTGGCTTTGAACTCGCAATCCTCCTGCCTCAGCCTCCCAAGCCCCTGGGATTACAGGCTAGCGCCAACATGCCTGATGGTTTCTGGTTTTGCAATATTTGCATATATAAAATGAAATGTCTTGGAAATGGGAACCAGGACTGAGCATGAAATTAATTTGTTTCACATGAACCTTATATAGACAGCTGGAAGCTGATTTTATAGGACATTTTTACTGTGCCTGTGTTTTCACTGGGCTGTGTCACCAGGTCATTATGGAATCTTTACTTGTGTTATCACGTTGGTACTCAGTTTTGGGTCATGGGGATGTTCAGATTTTTGAGTCGGGGATGTTTAACTTGTATGCGGTCATCATGTGTGAGACGGTGCTTGCTGAGAATTCCACGGTCTCAGTGGTTGTCACATGCCAAAGTGATGGTGGTACTGATTCCCACATCAGGAAGATGAGGGGTCCATCAGAGACACTCCTCACCATTTGGCCAATAAAGAAAGGGCAGGAAGAGTTGGAGCCTGTTGTTTTCGGCAGTTCAACACCTTAAAACTATCACAGACCTAGATGTAGGACTAATAGTTGTACATGTGAATCTCAAGGTATAAATGTTGCTTGGCAAAAAAGACTGACAAATGAGGTCAGGCTCTTTGCTGGGGGAAATGTTCTTAAATTTAGCTAAGCTGAAGCAGGCCATTCTGAAAGATTGGATTAATGGTCCATACTTTATTTTCCTGTCTTATTCTCTGATTTCATTTGCTTTCTCCTACAGTACTGTCTTGGGTGGCTTTGGGGCATGTAGTGTGTGAGAGTATGGTTTGGTTTGTTTGTTTATTTGGTGTTTGGTGGTGCTGGGGATTGAACCCAGGGCTTTGTGCATGGTAGGCAAGCATTCTACCAACTGAGCTATATCCCAGCCCTGAGAGTATAAATTTTGTATTTATATAGAGAGACCACGGTTTTATCAGTTAAGATTCTGCAAGTACATGTAGTTGCTCGATGCCTCAGTTTTCCCATCTGTGAAATGGGGAACAATTAATAGGACTTCCCTTGTAGGGTTGTTATGGGGTTGAGTTTAACATTATCAGTAAGTACCTATTGCTGACACTGTTATACGACTTGGCTGCTGTTGAAGTTGTTCATTGAATTTTCTTTGGGGAGTCATGATTGACAGTGGGTCTATTACTAGGTAATACTGAGAGCTAGTACCCAAGATTCACTCAGCTGTAAGTCACAAGAATTGCCTAGTTGGGATTTGGGAAATCTCAGTTTTATCAATTAGGATTTTGGAAGGACACCTAATTGCTCGCAGCCTCAGTTTCCCCATTTGTGTTGAGCCTCAGTATCTTTGGCAAGCCTTTTCCACAGCATTCCCAGTGGATTCTGGTGATCCTTCTGTTGGGATGGCCTTGGGAGCAAGGAAGGCTAGTGAAGAGGGTGGTGTTTTGGGGAATGGGTCAAGGTGACCAGTGGTGTTGCCTGGTTTGGGTTTCAGTATTCTGCTCCTTAAGTCACCTTTGTGTGGAGTGAAGCTTGATTGATGTTGACTCTGTTATTCTGATGACATCCCTCCCAGACCTGACAGATAATTGCATGAGGTTCTGATCGTGGATGGCTTGGTTTTGGAACATCTTCCATATCACCCACAGTTCGTTAATATTGGGATAACACTTCACTTCTCACTTTAGGACGAGCCTAGCTATTTCATTTCCCCTGTGTCACTTTAGATAATGGAGATGCCTACTTATCTTTGAAATGTCAAAAAACTTTGCTTTCATAGTCTTATCCAAGTATTCCTTTGTGAACACCTGTAACTTTAGCAGAGGGGATTCTGGATGGCAGAACCTGTTCAGTTCTGTCATGGTCATCTATATGGGTCACCTTTGTGGTTCTTAATTTAGTCTCCTGTACAAAGGGATCATAATATCAGCTCAGTGGGAGAAAAAAATCATCCATCAGATAGATAAGAAGATATTATTGTTAACTCTTAGTAATAGGAGTATAATTTCAAGATTGATTTATATGTCCTTGGATTTCTTTTTTCACATGCTAACACAGAGGGGGAATCAAAGGGAATGATCCTTTAATATATTTCATGTAGAATGACATCAGGAAAAAAATGCAATAGTTTAAAAACATATCTCATTGGGAATATTAAAACAGTTTCTCTTCTGTTCGTTTTACCCAGCTGAGATGTAGATACTTTTCTCTGTGACTTGAAGTGATGACAGCTCATGAATTTTTGGAGTTTTCCCAGAACTTCTGTAATTATTACACGAAAAGTAACACATGTTGGGTACGTCACTGTTGCCGGAAAGAGGAATGAGAAACAAATCTGGGACAAGCCAACTGGAAATTCAAGGCATTTTTATTAAGCAGTTTTCTCTCTTCTCCCTCAGATATTTAGAGAAAAACAGGTGTGGTCTCTGCCACCCCATTTCCCCCCACATCTTTAATACTCTACATCTCATGTTCCTTCTGTGTTTAAAGAACTATAAAGTCAGGCAGGTGTGGTGGTGCAGGCCTGTAATCCCAACAACTTGGGTGGCTAATTCGTGTTTGAGACCAGTCTTGGTAACTTAGCCAGTCCCTGTCTCAAAAGGAAAAAAATAAGAAAGGGCTGGGGATGTATCTCAGGGGTAGAGCATCCCTCGACTCAATCCCTAGTACCAAGAAATAAAAATAAATAAAATAAAATAGAAACTTAATCAAGACATCATTAGAAGAATCCAAAATTGAAGCATGTATTAACCACAGTTCTCTGCAAAAGTTCTGGCACTGGGGTTAGATGAAGGTCAAGTGGCGTAAGAGGCATTCCTTCCTAAACCAGGGGACATGCATGGTCCTGGGGTCGATAACTTG